CACTCTCTCTCTCTCTCTCTCTCTCTCTCTCTCTGGAGATGGTGAAGAAAGCTCAAGCAAGAAATCCGGCGAGGCTTTTGTATAAATAATCAAAAAATAAAACGAAATTTAGCATACCATTGAGGTCTGGCTACGGTCAACGGCTGTCGGCTATGGTGGTAGGCCAAGCAGGTGCGTTCCGATAGGAGTGGCGGGCGGGCCCCACCTAATCACCCCTCGGCGCGAAAGTTGGCACGGTCACCGACGGCTGTGATCTGGCCCACCTCCCTTTTCTTTTCAGATTTCGTTATCCTTCCCCGTCTTCCACGGCCCGTGATGCTGCTTCAGCCGTCAGATCTCATCTGTGCCGGCGGGGCCCGTCGACAGCCCCGGGATAACTATCACAATTAGGGTAGTATCCTTCACGGCAGGATGTTCTAACCTACGGTGAGCCGCTTATGTGGCGACGTGTGGGAGGCGATAAGACTTCCACCGCGTACTCCGGCTCGGTAACTCGGCCGCCCGCTACTCCTCCCGCACCGCCTTGGACACCCACCATGTATATATAAAGCCTGCCGCGTCTTCATCGTTAGAGAACGGCTCGTCATTCTTTCGTCCCCGCGGCGCAGGTTAGCGGGCGGATGGAGGTGATGAGGCACGCCTCCACTTTCCTGCGGCCGCCTCCGCTTACCCCGGCGGCCGACGGGCCCCCGCTAACGTACGCGCTCGTCGTGCTGAACCAGCGTCTCCCTTGGTTCGCGCCCGTCCTGTGGAGCCACGGTGAGCGCATCTTCGTCCCTCCCTCCCTCCCTCTATCTCCCCCAAGTTGTCTCTCTAGGGCTTAAGTTGGGTTCCTGTGGAGGCTGATGCGGCTGGGTATTCGGATTTCTTTTTCTGTGGAAGCAGCAACGTTGCGAGTCTTTGCCGATGGAGGGGCAAATCGGGTGTATGACGGGATGCCGAGGCTCTTCCCTGAGCAAGATCCGCTTGAAGTTCGGCGCAGGTTTTTTTTTTTTTTTCTTGTTTGGGTTAATGTTTGAGCTTTTCAATCATCACATGAACTAATTTGCTTTGTAGATATTGAAAATCAACTTGAATTCATTGCTTACTTGTATTTCGTTTTGAAATTTAGGCATGCTGTGGTTTTAGGAATATATTTGCATTTTTTGTGTCGTAATTGGTTATTTTCCTTTCTGAGAACGATCATGAAGGACTAAGTCACGGACTATTGGAATGTTCTGCTTAGTTAATATGTATTAGAGATTTATTATCTTGTAAATTATAAATGACCTTTTGCAAAAAATTTTCGTGAACCTGCAAGTATTTTACACTCATATAGACTGCATCGCAGTTGCTAAAAGGGTGCATTCAAGGGTTGATAAGTATTCTAGGAGTCCTAATTGTGTTCTAACCACTTTGGAGAAGTTCTAATTAAATTCAAACTTTTTGGCGGATTAGGATTAGGATTTAGATTAGGAATTTAAGTAGAAAGAGTCTTTAAAGAATTAGGATTTGTTTCTATAAACGTGAGTCTCAAGGTTTTAATGAGAGGAAGAAGAAAGACAGTTTGGGTGCTCCTTAGGGTGTTCTTGAGAGGGTTGAGAGAAGAGTTCTCTGGGTTTATGTAAGAGGGTATACAAGGGGTTTTGGGCTTGGGTTTGGGTTAACTCAAGGAAGAGTGATTCTTTGTATTGGTTTTTCTCTTATAGTGAAGAATTTGATTTTTTTTTCCATTGACTTAGGTAGGGAGTTACCCAACTATGTTAAGTTATTTTTGCTGTATTTACTATAGAAAAATTTGATGAAAGAAATAATTTCATCCTATGACAGAGAAGGGTGAAGGATATTCTTGTTCAGCAAGGCCTAACAAAAATGTTGAAGGGACAAGCAGGAAAACTAGAAAAGATGAGTGACGAAGATTGGGTAGAGTTTGAGGCTAAGTGTGTAAGTGCTGTTCGTCTTTGCATCGCTTTATTAATAATGTTATTGATGATGATTCTGTCACGACGATAATTTAAGATAAGTTAGAAAATCTTTATCAGGCTAAAAGCTTAATTAACAAGTTATACTTGAAGTGAAAGTTATATA